CCCCAAAACCCCAAAACCCCAAAACCCCAAAACCCCAATTTCAGAGGTTTCAGTTGAAAGTTTCTGAATTGTTTCTAATCATGTTTCCTCACCAATTGCTTATCTCTCGGTAACCATTCTTGGATCTTTAACTCCTACTTCAAAATTAGTTCAAAACATGTAAGCCAAACTATTTTCTTTGTTGGCTAAATCATCCTTGTAAAATTTCATGTCTTTAACTGTTTTTTTGGACAAAATATCTTATTAGTAGATTTCTAATTGCAGCTGCTTTATTATTTTCAATCCTTCTGGACAATAAGACCTCTATCACAGATATTTTAGATTCCTCTTGATCTATTCTTTAGTGTAGTAGTATTTTTCACTAAGTTTCTGGATCTTTTGAAAATAAAGCTAGATCGCTTTCATATCTTCAACATTTCTTTAATCAATTCATACATCTTTTCTAGGAGTTGATTTTTGAGGGCCGCTTCTTTTGTTACATAACTCCTTTCTAATACTTTAATCTTCAAGTCATATTCTCGAATAGCTTGTTTCATTTTACTAATAGGTCTTTGGATATAAGACTCTGTTTCTTTTCAAGCTTAAATTTCACCATCAATAAGCCTTGAAGGTTATCTTTTAAGAAGCTATTTCTCGTATTTGCTTCTTTAGGTTTCCAATCTCTTGATGTAGTTTGGCCTTTTCTATATCTCTTTGCTATACTTCCTCTATCACATCCGAATAGAAAGAAGTAATACTATTTGATGATTTTTCTTCGGTTTATCAAGTGTCCTTTTTATGTTTTCATTCATCTATTTCTACATTTCTCATCGTTTAAATCACCATGACTAATTCTTCTTGTTTTCTTCAATAAATTTGTGTTTAGGCATAATAAGCTCTCTTTTATGTGGTTCAATAAATGCCTGCTTCTTTTCAAATTTTTACTTGAAGGTTTTAACTTAATTTTAAGAATCTGATTTTATTTTAGAGAATTGTCAAGAAATGTTTTTCCTTAATTTTCTGATTCTTTCCCTTACTCTCTAATACACTTCTTAATTTTACAATTATAACCAGTGGGAGGGTGGACAGTTCAGAGTTCAACTCATCTCTTTTGCTTCAAGTGTCTTTATTTTTCCTTTGTATTCCTGTTCGAATTCTTGTCTAAATCTACCTTCTCGCTGATGAAAATTCTCAAATATTCTTCCGTATTTCTCTGTTAATTCTTTTACTTCCTGTTTCTTTAATAATCCAGTCTTTTCGTGATTATCTGAGTTTCTGAGAGAATTCCTTTCTGCTTCATTAAAATTCCTAGTTCTCAATTTTCTTGATTTAAATCCTAAACTAGCCTCAACAGAAGCATACAGGTGATCTCTTTTTTTATATAGATTTATCTTTCTGTCAAACTCTTGAATTTAAGTGATTAAATTATTTATTTCTCTCTTTGTACTGCAGGTTTGGCGACCTTTGATGCTAGTTTAGTTATTTAAAGCTGTAATTTCTGATTCCTTAGACTGGTTAATTTATTTCAGATTTTGAATTTTAGCCTTAAATTGTTTATGACTTTTAGCAAGATCTTTACTAATAGATTCCTTCTGTTTTGTTAATTTATCTTCTAAGCCTTGTATCTTTGCTTCGTATTGGACAGTGAATTCTTCGAATAGGATGCAGTATTTTTTCGAAGAGTTGCAAAAATTTGTTTCATATTCACTGATATTTTTAATTTTGCTATTTTATGTTGCTCACCCTTTGCCAATATTTTGTTTAGATGGCTTTTCTTAAGTAGTTCAATTTTCCTTTTTATAGTAATCCCTTATTTTCTTAATTTATTCTTGAGTTTTTTATTTCTCTGATGAGCTTGTCTAAAGTAGTTTTTCCTACATTTCATTTTGTCTTTAAGTTTAGCCTTGATCTTTTCTCTAGTTTTCATTACTTTGCTGGTTTTACCAAACTGAAGAGTTAGTTTACTCATTTGCTTTTCAAGTGAAGCAATTATTCTATTTTTAGTATCTTTCTCAACTTATAATGAAGAGTAATTAAAATCCATGTTCCTTCTAAGATTGTTCAGCTTTTCACCAAATTCTCTTAGTTTCTGCTCTAGGACTTCGGGCATACTTTAAAGTTATTTTTTAAGATTTCTTTTCTTTATGTTTCTATCAGAAATAATTTCCTTGGCATTCTGTAATTCTTCAAAGATTTCGATATATTTAGCTTCTTAATCTCTTCTATCTGGCTTTAATAACTTCCTAATTTCTTCTAAATTTATTATCTTCAACTCTAAGGCTGACACTTCACCATTTTATTGGCAAGAATAAATTCAAGTAATCTTATTTGACATTCTAGGTTCATTTTTAACTATGCAGGTTTGGTTTCAGCTTCTCGTTTCTTTTCCTTATTTTTTCTAAAATAAAATCCATGCTGTCTTTATATGCCACATTTTATTTTTGAAATTTATTCTGCTATTCTTTCCTCATTCAGTTTTCGAGTTATTTTAGTTTATGCTCATATTCAGCAGCATTTTTGATTGTCTCTTTAATAAATTCTCTTCATCTTATTTTTCTTTGGACAGTTGGTTATATTTTTGGATGCTCTCTCTTACATTCCCATTCATAGCTTCAGCATATTTTATCATTTGCTCTTTGAGGGCTTATGAGTTATTTTAGACACTTAAGAATTGCTTTTGAGGTCTTTGAATCTGAGCTCGAAGTTTGATTTAGATTTGATGATCTCTTACTTAAAACCCTTAATTTTGATCTTATAAATCAGATCGGGTTTATTTCTCATTGTTTATATCTTTCTGTTTATTCTCTATAATTTTTAGTTAGAATTGAATTTCTCCCTTTCAGGTTCATTGAACTTTTCCTTTGAATCCGTTGTATTTTCCAATGCAACCTTGTGTTTCTTATGATTCCGTTCGTATCCTTTAGAATATTGTCTATTTCTTTATCATGAGTTTTGGCGAAAGCTTGAATGGAGCTCTTATTTACCTCATTTATAATATTAACTCCATAGATGACTTTGAAGAGCTGGACTATTTCCATACTCATTCTGTTATGGATTTTTGAAGAATTTTAGTCATTGGGATCCTATTTTTGTAATTAATTAAATCTTTCAAGGTTTTGCCTTTAAAAAGGGGTTTTGGGGTTTTGGGGTTTTGGGG